CCCCAAAACCCCAAAACCCCAAAACCCCAAAACCCCTACTTTTTTATTAATAATTGAAATATTTTTATTATGGAAGCTAATACAATACCTGTTGAGGAAACAGTGCCTTATGTAATTGATACAGATTGTGGGGTCGATGACTCAATGGCCCTGGTCATTGCCATTTCAAACCTTGATATTGATGCCATCACTGCAGTCTCAGGCAATACTGAAGTGGAGAATGTAGTCAAGAATGTATCCAAAGTTCTTGAAATTTGTGATAAAAAGATTCCCATATATAAAGGAGCTGATAGACCAATTCTGAAAGCTCCGGAGAGAGCAACTAAGTATCATGGCAAGGATGGGCTAGCGGATAATCCTGAAGTTATGGCAATGGAGGGATATATGGATTGATACAATGATGAAGTAACAGCAGCTCAATACTTAGTTCGCAGAGCTAAGGAAAGTGAAATTAATTTGATATGCCTAGGCCCTCTAACTAATATAGCGATTGCTTGCTTTTTGTATCCTCAGTTTCCATCTAGGATCAATAAAATCTTTGTGATGGGTGGAACCATATTAGGAAAAGGGAATACTTCTGTTAATGCTGAATTCAACTTCTTAGCAGATCCTGAAGCTACCTTCAGAGTGTTTAAGAGTTTTAAAATGGTAGATATAGTTCCTTGGGAAGCCTCCCCTACATTTGTGATACCTGAGGAATATTATGACGAACTAACTGATCCAGACAAGCCTAAGTCAAGGTTTATTGCAAACACACATTGGGACCAATTAAAGAGACTTAAGAAATTAATGATTTGAGATGGATTTACACCAATGGTAGCTATTGATCCCTCTATATGAGACTCATGTGAAGAATTACATTGAGAGGTCTTCCTTCAAGGAGATGCTCAAGGCCAAATTTCTTATGCTTGGCCTAACTTCACATCTCTTTCTTCAAAAGAAAAGATTAATTGAAGGGTTCACTATGACTTTGATGTGGAGAAAACTATGAAAATTTTGTTAAGTAGCTTGAAATAATAAAATTACCAATTAGTAATCTCTGTTATTTTTATTTACAAGAAATAAGAATTCTTTCAATCTAGTTGAATATTATCGGGGTTTTGGGGTTTTGGGGTTTTGGGGTTTTGGGG